GGATAGTAAAATTTTTAGTTTTTGTCATGTCACTTTATTCAATTATTTGTGATGATCTGCAGGTGTCCCTATACTTTCAGCAACACCTGTAATTTTTGAATCTGATATCCAAAAACCAGCACCAGTTTTCCATACTGTGTTTTCATCTTCTAAATCAGATTCCATGCCTATAGGGGCTTTTATCCACAAGATATATGAGCTATATAAATCTTGATATGCTTCCATGGTGTTCAGTTGATATGAAACATCATGAACAAAAATACTTTGATCTTTTCAATAAAATAATTTATAATTAATATTATTTTCTGTTAATGATTTATACCAATTTTTCATTTTCAAATGCTAAATATAAAAAATATTTTATTAATAAGATAGTTTTACTAAACAATAAGAAGCTATCATTAAGCTGGTAAAAAATTTGCTTTAAATTAATTAAAATTATTAATTTATTTCAGAAAGAGTAATTTTTACTATACGTTGTATACTTTGGTTATGGGATTGGCAACTTTTTTTGAAGAATTTTAAGAATTTTATAGATCTTTACTAATTAATTTTGTTAGAAATTTTCCAAAAAATTAAAGGGGTTTTGTATTACATGCAACAAAATTTTGAAGATGTTTAAAACGCGTTTCGCGTAACTTATCTATGTAATGTGCATAAATTTGGATTTTTGAGCTGGATCTAATATATAATTTGGCACGTGATTCCCCCTACCCTTAAAGAATTGTCAGAGCACTTGCACAGGAGGAAAATACTCATACCCAAAGCCATTTGTAAGTATTACCTATTCTTTGGGCACTCTGACAAAAATCTAACTTTCATTATTACTACTATTTTTATTATTACAAATAATGTTATTATTAATATTTTCTTCGTTTTCATTATCTTCATAATCTTCACTCTCCACCTCTTTCTTTTTTCCTTTTTGACCCATTCCTGAATTGCTTCTATCGTTTTTCTTCTAGGATTTGTTTTTTGTTGATAGAAGTTTTTTATTGTGGAAGCAGCAACACCTTTTCCATCTCCTAGTAATTGGGAATTTCAATGACCATTCATTAAATGAAAAATCAGGATTCAACCCAGTATTTTTGTCAAAAAATTGTTTGAAATCCCATATATTTTCTATTTTTTTTGTGAATATTGTTTATCACTAGTAAGTTGGCTTGTTTTATTTTTAAATTGTTTCCTTCTTGGTTCTATTTTATCAATTATTTGATCAACTTTTTGATTTATAGTATGGGGTTGATTTTGGTAGGTTTTATGGCGAATCAAGAAACCAAGAAGGTGTCCAATTAACAATCCACAAAAAAGTTCATTATTGAATGTAAGCATTTTTTTAAAAATGTTATTATGGATGAAAATTGTGTAAATATTTATTGATTATTTGTTTTTTTTAAACCAAAATAAAATTGTTTGATGATGATTATTTTAAAGATTTATTATTTGAATTTTTTACCTGAAAATTAAGTGAATTGGTGATGTTTTTATAATGTTCCAATACAAGGTGGGATTATTTACCTTGTTTCAATGTCAATGAGAGAAAAACAAAGACTTATAAAACATATCCTTGAATGTAGTAGAATTTGTTCAAAACTCAAACAGCATTTTTTATTGATAAGCAATATGAAGATCATTAATTATGTTTGCATAAAGGAGGATTTTCTTTGTAGTAATAGTCAGTAAAAAAATTGTAATAATAAAATTATTTTCCTTCTAAGGGTTTCTGCTTTTTGTTAAGTAATAGTACACTTATTTTGTTTTCTTTTTCTAACATTTTTGATTTTTCTTTCTTCTTGGTAAATTTCATAGGTAATTCTTTCTTTTCTTAGATAAGCTTCAAGTGCCTGAGTATCATTTATTTTGAAAATAAAAGGAGCAATTTTTTTACCTTGTTCCCTTTTCAAAATACTACTAATGGTGCTGTAATTCTTTGGTTCCATAGTAGATCTGATGTAAATGAGTTTCATGTTAACAGTTTTTGTCCAGAAAAATATCATGATCACATTAATTGTGATTATACATGCAGCCCAAAGTATTTTGACACTGTCATAAAGGGTGCTACACTTATGTTTTTAATAGTGAGTGTCATAATTAATTTTGACTTTTGACCATTGAAATTGGAATAATTTTGACCTTTGAAATCCCAAAACCAATTTGGGCTTCATGTATAATTGTAATTGTGATGTTTAGACAAACATTATTGGTCCCTGAATTTTTGGTAATACAAATGCTCACTTTGGTTTTGTTGCAGTATACCCTATATAAGAATACAATAAGTTAAAAGCATATCCAAAAGAAAAAGACACTAGGAAATAATAACCCAATCTGTGCTTTGGACTAATCATTCTGATTATCTTGTATGATTAAAAATGAGAAACCAAAAGCAATGAAAATAAAACACAGTCAAGAGACTACAAGTGTGGTGTTAAAGAATTTTCACCACCAAAATTATTTTGTGACATTATGTTCACTTTGTCTGGTTATTTCCCATATAATAATAATAATTAGTTTTGATTGATATAAAACATAGATAAAAACAATTTTTCGTCTTTATTTAATGATTTTCTTAATGTAATATATTCTATTTATTTTTTTCAAAATAAAATTTTTTATTAAAAATTTAATATTTATAAATAATAATATTATTTAGATAAAATAGATATTATTTTTTTTTACCTTGCATTCATATACAAAATATTAGTTTTTTACAAGCTTTTTCTTGCCACTATCCTCCTCTTTTGACAAAGTTTTTTTTCTCTTCTTGACAA